AAGAATCTTTCGAAGTATTTAACCAGCTTATTAGACTACTTTCACCAGTCTCCATCCAAGATAACAAACGTTGGTTAACAGCGAGAGATGGTGTTAATAAGATCAATTTAGATAAAATAACCTTTGCGTTATCAGCTGATCTAGTCTCTTCAGTTGTGTTATCAGCTGGAATTCTCCAAATTGCTCTATCATCATCACTTCTTCGATGAAGCATTACAGTACGTTTAGCTCCGTAAATAACTTTTCTGACATTTCTGCAAAATCCAAATATATGAGACAATGGAATAGCGCATGAAAAACGTCTTCTTACACCTTTTAACATTGTGTTTCGAATTGCTTGACCTAAATTATAATTTGGGTTAACATTAATGACATCAAAATCTGCTGCTGGTCTTATATATCCAACAGGCGCAGGGTCAAGTGATGCATCATGTGCAAGTTTTATAAGATTATATTGATTTGTATTAACGTTGTCAGAATTATCTTTAGCAAACATCATAGTTGGTCCAGCTGATCTTATATAATCGTCAGAATATCTAGCTAATCCAATAATTGTTGTTGCAATATCTACATCATTATTTATTGATTCTATATCATTTCCGTCTATTATATATTTTGCACCTTCAAATAACGCCATAATTCCATTGTTTACAAATCCAACTTGTACCCCTGCTGCATAAGGTTCTGTACCACCAGCTGCTATTTTCTTTAAAATTTCTCCCTCAACTTCGATGTATGCTTCACAAGGTAAAAAGTATTCACTTTTATCTTGAACTTGTAGATCAATTCTACCTGTTGCAGTTGGATCAATTGCATTGTAAGCAAAATATTGATAATTTCCCACAGATTCATCTTTAGGTACAGGCGCGTCCATATCAAATGCAGTATCTATTATCTGCTTAAATACCATTTTTATACTAAGTATTTTTATTTTCAATTCAGAAACACTAATGTTTCAAGTATCATTATCTTCGCACTCTTCTAAGTCCACTTCCGGATATAAGACTTGAGAGATTAACATTTTGTGTTGGAGTTGATAGCAATTCTGGCGAGTTCATTATTAACTCATTGATTTTTTCTTGAGCTTCGTTTATTTATAGCTCTACTTATCTTTGCCGGCATATTTTCTGTTGAAGGAAGAGTCTGAATCTTTTGTTTTCGTCCAAATAATGACCTCACTTTATCTTTTACGAAGGAAAATGCTTTACCAGCTACATCTCCTACAGCTCCTAATGTTTTATTACCAATTACCCCAATAGCTTTCATACCAACTTGTTTAGCAAATGGAGCAACTTTTGGAGCCATTCTTGTAAAAAAAACCTAATAATGTTTCTCCAAGTCCTTCACCATAGAATGTTTTATATACCGGTAATCTTGAATTTACCACAAATACTTGGACCGGTTTATCATGATTGTAGTGTACTATCATTCTTATTGTAAAATCAATTGATTTCTAATTGTGTTAATCACTGCAATATCCTGAATATTTACTACCTTCCATGAGATCACCAATAAATTCTCTGTAGGTATGAAGATCAATTATTTTATTTTGAAATAGTCGATGCGCAATATCAGCAGATTCATTAATTAATTCAATAGAATTATTTCCTGCACTTCTTCCTCTTATGAGAACTTCCAATCGGGAAACATCTCTGATGATACTATCTGGACATATTTGTGAGTCATGGTAGGTAGTTGGGGTTAGTCCGCCTCTATTTTTATCTTCTTCTATTATTGGATCTTGTTGTCGTCTAGGTCTTCCTCTTTTAGTTTGTTTTTCTTCTTCTCTTTTTTTCTTTTCATCTTCCTTTTTCTTAGCCTCCCATAAATCAGCCCCGTATATAAAATCCTTATAGTTATCATCGTTTTTATCTAAATTACCAGAAATATTTTTATTTATTTTATAAATCCAATCTAACCATTGCTTCCTAGATATTTTACTATTTTTGTACACATCTTTTAAAATTTGTTTTCTATCATCAAAACTTTTAAAAGCAGCCGCTCCCAATGCTATATTTTCATCTGATTTAATCGCTTGAATTTCTTTAATTCGTTTTTTTCCTTCTTCCGTCAACTTATTTATAAAACTAAAACCTACTTTAGACTCAGCAGGTTTAGGTTTAACATTTTCAGATATTTCTTTAAGTAAATCAGATATAGGTTTTTCATCTACAGGTCTAAATGCATCATCGCTATCACCATACAACATAGTTTTCATACTTGTAGTAATCGGTTCAAACATTTCCTGACGACCTTCAAGTAAATCAGCCTTCATCATCTGACGTTCCTGTAATTTTTCCTTTAGTCGCTCATGAACCGGTAAAACTTTATTGATAGCGGCGAGCTTTTCTCGAGCATATCTTTTCGATGGTGCTTCTCCAACTTCCATAATATAAAACTATTGTATCTATTAATTGTAAATTTTCGGCTGAGCATCATGATCACGATAAATTTTGCATCATTAGGGTGGGGTAGGTACTCGTATTTTGACATTTTTCTTGGGGTCTATATATTTTAGATATTTTTTTATGTCTTGGATTTGGAAAATACAGCCTTCTGGCTGACTCTTTTGGGGATAGAGGTGGTGACGGACGGGAATAATTTGGTCTGTCCAGTCCCTCTACCCCCCAATTTTGCATCATTAGGGTGGGGTAGGTACCCCATGTTTTGATATTTTTCTTGGGGTCTATATATTTTAGACATTTTTTTGTCTTGGATTTAGAAATTAAGGCTTTGTTGGTAACTTTTGGGGATAGAGGTGGCGACGGACGGGAATAATTTGGTCTGTCCAGCTCCTCTGCTGCTCAATATATATATATATATATATATATATATATATATATATATATATATATATATATATAGATACTCATTACCCATTCGGGTATTTTGTACAACAATAAAAGATTTTAAAATTAAAATACCTGTATAAACTTTGGAAGATGAGAATTATATATTCGGGTTTGTTATGACTGATCATCTTGTCTAGTTATACGTTAAACTAGAAGAATTAAAGCACGAATTTGTAGGTGTATTACTATCGTGAGGTTACGTCAGCATAGTCGATTTGGATTAGACGATCGATTGCAATACCTACCAATCTTTGCTTTGTTTACCATAGTATTTACACGTGCCACACTTGTATATAACTAGTGTTGTTGATCAAGTGATCAAGTCAGGGACAGATAGTGTTAGACAAATAAGGTGGCAGACGGAAGAAAGGATAGGTGATGTGATGTGATTATGATTTTTTTCAGTCGTATCGCTACGATGTCTGCAGTGTGGCAGTTTATAGTGATGTCTAGCATTGGGAAATCATGCCGCAGACATGTAGCATGATGTCCCACCTAGTCAGTCCTAACCCGACCAGTCCTAACACTAACCTTTTAATGCTGACCGACCAAGTAAACAGCGGAAAAAAGGATAGAGGAAGGAACTAATTTAGACTGAGCCCTAGATTTTAGAGAAAAAGTTTGATTAAAGCAGGAATAAAAATGAGAGAGGTAAATTTTGGAAATGGAAAATATAATGCATGAAATTTTGAAGAATAATTTGAAACTTATACATTAAACTACAGGTTGTCATAAGCAAACGAATTTTCTGCACACGAATTTCGGAACTCAAAGTTAGATGCCGAAATTCAAAACTTCTACTCTCAAACAACATTTATTTTTTTTGCCCACATTAGATTTTGAACACTCAGGCTTAATTTTAGTAAATTATGAATTTGTTTTAGATTATCGAGATATATCCACTATGGTTCTATCTGCTGGTAAATTATTGCAAGTAAAATTTGACTCTATAAACAAGCGAAAATGTATAGTATTTTTAAAGATGAGACATTTACTGAATAAATCTGTCCTGAATTTTTAATTTATCTTTATTATTGTTTATCTTTATTGTTAGAGTCAGACTAACCCTTGTAGCGTCTGATCTGAAAGAGAAAGCTAAAACTCCTAAATAATTTTCCAGACCCTCGAGGCTTGTTTGTCAGATGTCATAATGATCCAATCAAAGAAATAGAGTGACACCTTAACATAGTTATTAAAATCAGACTCAACAGTAGAAGATAAAATTTATAAAACAATTTAATTTTTTTCTAAAAAGTGACTGATTAGGTTTGGAAATGGAGCGAAATACACATTTATTTCGTTTGGAAGACATGAATATTAAATCTGAAGCAGGAAATGAAACTGAAAGTTTGGCAAAATAAATTGATGATAATAGTGATGGAATTAGATCAAGGGATTCAAGTCCCCATGGTAAACTGGAGTAATTTAGAAAACAACAAATGGCAAGTTTAGCAATAGAAGTTAAAGAAATAATACTCACCCTATCAAATGATATGAAATCTACATTTGACGAGTCAAAATTGCACCATCTACAGAATAGGTTACATCTGATTGAAAATAGAAATGAAAATTCCAGAACTAGTGAAATAGAAAAGCCCAGCCTTCAAAGAAACAGTGGAATCAGAATAGTAGTGAACATATACATACTCATGAGATAATGAGAAACAATATACAGTCTAAAATTAAACCTCAGCTATATGATGGTTAGACTAACATAGATGAATATTTAACTCAGTTCAATATTATTGCAGAACTTAATGAGTGGGATTATCATTCAAAGACACTGTGGGCTAGCATCTCACTGGTACTGCTCACTCTTTGCTTAATGAAATCGAACCAGAACAAAGGAAAACTTACTACACACTGGTGAAAATGCTAAAGTTCAGATTTGGAACTCGAAATACACCTGAAATACACATGCCACAACTTAAATCTAGAGTTAGAGAAAAGGGATAATTGATTTCTGAATCGGCAAAAACATTAAGAAATTGACGAGACGGGCATATCCTGATGCATCTGGTGAAATTATTGAAAATGTAGTCCTGGACAACTTTATTGATGCCTTGCTGGAATCTAAAACTAGTCTAAGAGAATGTTATCCTAAAACACTAAACGAGGCTGAAACAATAACTTAAATTGGAAGCTACCGCTTCGGTGGCCTAGTGGTTAGAGCGTCCGCCTAGGATGCCATTGGTCGTGGGTTCGATACCCGGTCGAGTTATACCAAAGACTTACGAAAATGGTACTAACAGCTTTCTCGCTTGGCGCTCAGAATTAAGAAGTTAGTGTTAGGACTGTTCTGCCTGGTGTCAGGATAATGTGACTGAGTGGGACATCATGCTACATGTCTGCGGCATGATTCTCCAGTGCTAGACATCACCATAAACTGCCACACTGCAGACATCGTAGCGATGTGACTGAAAAAGTGTTAAAGCTACGTTAAAAATCAAAATTACACCACATCACATCACAAATTGGAAGCTCACAAACTAGCTGATAAACAGAGACAGAAAAAATATGAACTTACTGCCTGAAATAGAAACTGTACCTAATGATGACAAGCTAGATAAAATTGTACAAAGGCTAGACCATTTGTTTCAAAAAGTCCAAAAACTGCAGTTAGAAACAGAGAGAAGAGAATACAAAAACTGAAAAAGAAAACAAGATGATTGGAATAACAATGACAGAAGAAATGTTTACTGAAGAGATTACTATGGAAAATGGTTTCAAAACTTTTCAAACAGTAGTAACAGAAAACAAATTCTTGAACAGAGAGATAGAAATCAAAATCAAAAGTACAAGCGAAACCATAGTTTTAGAAACAAATGGGAAAATACGGATAGACAGACCAGATGTCAGGGAAACAGAATTGGGTCAAGCTTGGGGACTGAAGCTCAACTGTAAAGAAAGAAGGGTCCAAAGTGATCAAACTAAACAATCTAGGGACTGATACAGGATATTTTGTAGATACTAAAGTAAATGGAAATTGCATTTCTTTGTTGTGTGACACTGGAGAAAATGTTACAATTCTAAATAGTAAGACAGTAAAATCTTTGTCAGAAAACTCACAATCAGAGGCGACTTCAGGAAAAAGTATACTTTTAACTGTAACAGGAGAAAGTCAACCTTTTGATAGAAAGCAGATGTAGAAATTATTTTACTGGCTTGTACTTTCACACATGAAGTATGATTAGCAGATATACAACAAGATGTCATACTTGGTATTAACTTTTTAAAAAAAAATACCAGTGTAACCCTATTATTAGTATTGTTATTTAAATGTAAAAGGAGAAAAAGTACCGTGCTATATGAAATCAGATGAAACGAAAACTATGTGCTGTACACTTGCATTAACTGAAAATGTTGTGATATTTCCTGAAACTGAAATAGTTGTAAATGGCAGACCAATTGACTTGTATGATAAGGAATCGATGAGCTTAACTGAACCATTTCCAATATATTTGGAGAAAACTGGTTTACTAGTAGCAAAAGTTTTAGTACATCCTAAAAATGTATACATTTAGGAGAAAAACCAGTTCAGTTGGATAACAATAATGTTACTGCAGAATTACAACCAGTGCAAGTTGTACACAGTAAACCTGTTGAAGCAATCAACCGAAAAGGGGGTAGAGTTCAACGATTACCAGAACATTTAACAGAGATGTTTGTAAGGTCTTCTAAAAATCTTGATAAAGAACAAACGGAACAGTTAAAACAATTTTTGATAAAACATTAGAGCATGTTTCTTGCATCATCAAGTGATATAGGTCATTCAACCTTAATAAAACATCAAATTGATACAAGAAATGCAAAACCTGTTAAAAAATATCCTTACAGAATGTCACGTGCTAAAAGACAAGTTGTGGAGAACGAACTTGAAAAGATGGCAGAAGATGGAATTATTAAAAAATGACCACAAAGTCCATGGAATGCTCAAATTGTAGAGGTGAGAAAATCTTATGGTTCGGTGAGGTTCCGTTTGTGATTTTCGAAGATTGAATGATGTCAAAGATTCTCAACTTTTGCCTAGAATAGATGATCATTTATATGCTTTAGCAGGATCAAAATGGTGGTCTTGTATGGATATGAAATCAGGCTATTGGCAAGTAAAAACTGCTGAAAAAGATAGACATAAAATTGCATTCTACATACCAGGAAGAGAACAATGGCAATGGCGCAGATTAGCATTTGGACTGTGCAATGCATCTGCTACTTTTACTCGTCTTATACAGATGGCACTTTTAGGAATCTTGGGAAAATTGGTCATTTTTTTTACCTTGGTCATATGATATGCTATTCAGAACCCTTTGAAGATCAATTCACTATTTTGAAGATAGTTTTTCAAAGACTCAAATATGCTAACTTGAAATTGAATTCGAAGAAATGCAACCTGTTTCAAAAGAAGGTCACATTTTTAGGTCATACTATAAGTGAGGCTGGTGTAGGCACAAGTACTGATAACATTAAAGCAGTTAGAGATTGGCCAACTCCTACAAATATAAAAGAAGCTAGAAGCTTCATATCTTTGGCAAGTTACTACAGATCATCTGTGTATCAGTTTGCTACTTTGGCCAAACCTATACATGAATTATCAGAAAAGGGTAGAAAATTTGTATGGAGAGAGAAATGTGAGCAGTCCTTCAAGGATATAAAACATGCACTGATAAATGCACCAATCGTGGCATTGCCTACTGAAACTGACCAATTTATTTTAGATTGTGATGCCTCAAATGTGAGTCAAGGAGCGATCCTCTCCCAAATCCAAAATGGACAAGAAAAAGTACTTTAGAAAATGTTTATCAAAAACTGAAAGAAAATATTGTCACAAGAAGAGAACTTCTTGCAGTGGTAAACGCAATCAAACATTTTCTTCGCTATCTTATCGACAGAAGTTCACAGTGAGGACTGATCATGGTAGTCTTAAATGGCTGATAAATTTAAAAATGGTAGAAGGTCAGTTAGCTAGGTGGTTAACTTTTCTGGCTACCTATGATTTTGAGATCATACACAGAGCTGGCAGATTGCACTCTAACGCAGATCTTTTATCAAGACGTCCATGTATCACATTGAACTGTACCTATTGTGAAAAAGTTGAAAATTATGCTGAATGTGAATCACAGAAAGAACTGGTAGCTTGTATTTCTAAGCTCCCAAATCAAATTGGTTCATTGTCTATTACATCCCATGTAAACACAAAGGACAAAAAGATGAATAAAGAGTTATATAAAATTGATATTTTCATACGACTAATCTCAATATTATTAGTATGCCTAGTTCCAATACTATTAGTATGCCTAGTCCCAATATTATTATTTTGCCTAGTCCCAATATTATTAGTATACCGAGTCCCAACATAATCAATATATGCTATTTGCTTCATTCTGACTGTGTGTTCTGTGGTACGTAGGTACTCTTTTAGCGACAATACTCTAGTGAAAAATCTATCAGAGATTCCACATGGTGAAATACCAAGAGTGTTGAGTGGAAACTGTAATCACCTGAAGGGTATAAGTGATAAACTATGTTATGTTACAAAAGAGGTTAGGAAGAAACTCCCATCTACTGACAGTAACATAAATAAAGGGAGAACTATCACTTTTCAGTCAAATGATGATATGGACAGCTTGTATCTATCCAAACATTATGCCATTTACAAAATGATACAGTTCTGAAAGTGGTAAAGGTGATTGTGAAAAGTGAAAGGAAATATGGCCAGATATTTCACATTTCTGTCAAGAAAAAAAACTACTAATGGAAACGGGTTAATTCCTTGGTAGGAGAAAATTATATGTTGTATAGAAAATGGGAAAATGCTGATGAAATGACAGTCACCATGTGAATTGTTGTCCCAGAATGCTTGAAAAAATTTTATACGTACACAGTTACATAACAATGTCACAGCTGCACATTTAGGAATAGCAAAGACTCTACAGGAAGTGTGACAGAGATTATTTTGGTATGTGCTGAATTAAGATGTCCAAAAGTGGTGCAAGAAATGTGATGTGTGTGCCAGTAGAAACCTTCCCTCAAGAAACCAAAAGAACCCATGAAAACCTCCAATGTAGGTGCTCCTATGGACGGGGTGGCTATTGATTTTATAGGTCCACTTCCCAGGACCAAACAGGGAAATAAATACATAATGGTCATAGGTTACTATTTTACAAAATGGACATAGGCATATCCAGTAGAAAAAAAAACTGATGCTAAAACTACAGCAAAAGAAAGATAATTTTATCACAAGATTTGGAATACCACTTCTTATTCACACATTATGGAAAACACTTTGAGTAACAACTTTTGAATGAGATCTGTATAACATTAGAAAAAAAAAACATGAGAAAACTAGAACTTATATTGCCAGACTCCAACGTGATGGCATGATAGAGCTAACAGAGCCATTTATAACATGCTTTCAGCATTTGTGTCCTGACATCAAGATGATTGGGATGAAATCTTACCGTTGGTGATGATGGCATACAGATTAGCAATACATGAATCCACTGGAATTTCTCCTAGTATGATGACATTTGATAGAGAAAAAGTTCTTCCCATTGACATGGTATTTGGAAATAAATGAGAATGATAATGAACAAAGGTACAAAACATAGTATACAAATAATTTTGAACATAAAATTAAAAAGGTGCATGATTTTTCAAAACATTGAATGGATTTGTCTGGAAAATGTAGGAAAAAAAAACTATGACACAAAAATAAATTTTAATAAATATGAATAAGGTAATGCTGTTTGGTATTACAATCCAATCAGAAAAATGGGCTAAATCAACAATTATAAAGACCATGGAAGGGTCCATATCTAATCCTGAAGATTTTTAATGATGTATTGTATAGACTAAAAGGAGGACCTAAACAAAAACCGAGTGGTCCAGTATGACAAGATAAGGCTGTATGAAGGTGCAAACTTACCTCAATGGTTTATCAAACTAACATAAAAATGGACCAGAACAGTCACTTTGTCACGAATATTCTTTTAATATTTTTGTTTTTTATACAGATAATATTTTACCAATTTGCAAAGACTTGACATTTCATCTTGAGCCACAGTGTATAATGCATTTGAGTGAACAACATTCTGGAGTGACATATCAATGTAGCAAATATTTCAAAAATTCAGAAGTAATGATAATCTACCTAACTGCAGGGCACAGAGAGAGTATTTTTTTCTCTTTTCACATTCAACTGAATTAAAAATAGAGGAAGCA